AGAAGAAGTCTTCTTCACAGTTACTGGACTTGAAGCCCATAGAAAATATCTGGTGGGACTTAAGGAATGTGGTTGCAGCACGCAAACACAGAATATTACTGAACATTGCTCATGAGCAATGGTCTAAGATTCCTCAGGAATGCTGCCAGAAGCTGGTGACTGGCTATGCATCTCATTTGCAGCAGGTCATAACGGCAAAAGTGTGCTATACTAAGTACTAAAGATGCTTGCCATGAAGGATTTTAACAATTTTTAGACTAGAGAAGTAATTTTCCGTTGAATTTGGGGAAACCAATTGAAGCATTCATAATGTTGAGCTTTTTCAATTGCTTTTGTTTGATTTGTTCATTGCAAATAGCTGAAAGTCTGTAAATGTTGACAATAAACATGATTTTTAATGGGGGTTGAATAATTTTATTACTATATATATTGTTAACCATTTTAAATGTGAACATTTTTCCTATTCTTTTTGTCTTCAAGAGTACAAATAACATAAACAAATAATCTGCAGGAATATTTACATTCCTTATCCATTCCTCTTAGGTTCAATGTCGTGACGTATATCTGGTTTCTTACTTTTCTGATCTACGTTCTACTAGCAGTCACTTCCAAGTTCAACCCTGTCTTCTTATTTTACAATTGTGTAGCAAACATGAATGCCTTAATGTCTTAACAAACCAAAAATAGCTCAAGCTCATTACAAAAATTTTTAAAGAAAACAACATTCGGTAAGTTCCAATTTTGTGAGAACTAAAACTTTAAAGAAATCCGTACACTACTCATGCTTAGTAGGCTGCATTTCTGTCTCCAACTCCTCTCTTAGCATATTAACCCCTTAAGGACCAAACTTCTGGAATAAAAGGGAATCATGACATGTCACATTTCTCACGTTTGCCCCTTTCTCACTCTGGTGCTCTCATTATTTCCCACCTTGACTTTTGTAACCCTCTGATTGCCTGAAAAGTGCCCAGACTTCCCCTTTACATTATGTAATGAATGCCTCTGCAGATTCATCTACCTTAAGTCCAGAAACTCTCATGCCTCAAGCCTCTGTCAGTCTCTACACTGGCTTCCTGTTCCATTTAGGATATTCTTGTGCTTACTTGCAAAGCTCTCCACAATTGTGCCCCTACTTAAATCTTCTCACTCAGCAGATATGCTCCAGCCTGATCTCTTTGAACCGCTGATGACCTGTTTCTGTCCCATTCTCGCACCCGCATCCTAGACTCTTGCCTGCAGGACTTCTCCAGGGGTGCCCCCTGTGGCACATTTGACTCAGCCAATCACTGCTGTCCCTCAAAAATCTCTAAAAACACAAAACTTTACAGAACCCTACCAGCTCTGCCCTTAACTCCTCATCCCTTACAATCTTCCTCTGCTATCTCCCATTTACCGTGCTTCCTCCTCATAAACACCCCACATTCCTCAGGTACATACTTAGTTCCCTCTGTATATTTCTCCCTAATTCATTTATACTGTAAGCGTGTTTGGGCATGGCCCTCTGCAACTAATGTTCCAGTATCTCAAACGTGTTTTGTTATAACTTGTTTGTCTTGTTTACCTATTTTACAGCACTTTGGAATATGTTGGTGCTATTATATAAATGGTAATTGCTCTAACACTCTATAAACGCTCTATAAATGGTAATTGCTCGACCCTCCTACCGGTAAATTCCTTAAAATAGATGTGTATCTCTATTTCTTGGGCCCAATTCCAAAAAACAACTAAAACAAATCCACTTGATTTCTACCCAGCTCTGAATACTGAAACACTGTGCTAAGGAGTTTTTCATCTCTAATCATAAACACCTTATTGCAAACTTCATAAGCCTGTTATAGGATATGAGATACGGCACCTGTTTCATCTTCTCAAAAAAAAAATGTTCCTCATTTTATTGCAAATAGGTCTGCAGATGTCAAGTGAACATATTTTATCCTAGCATTGCAAAGTTTCTCGTTGTTGCTTGAAACCTCATCCCTCCTATCAAATTTTTTATCCCCCTTGAAATCTTTCTTTAATTGAGAGATTAATACTCTCACCTTTTGCATGCTTCCCATACTATAAGGACATTTAAGATAGCACAAGCTAGACTTGATCTGGACGTTGTCAATCTATATTGAGAGGACATCCTTTTGTACAAAATCAAGTTTTTGTACTGCATTCCACATCAGCATATGATATTTGGCCTGTTCTTAATGGCAACTGCTCAGCCTGTAGGATGAGCAGTTGCTGGTATTTCATACAACCAGGGTCTTTTTTTCTCCATAAAGTTATCAGCAACCAGAGTCGATATGAAGCAGACTTGCCAAGCAATCGCATTGTCCTATAAGAATACCATCTATCCTTACATCCAGTATTACCAGTTGGAAGTATCATCTGCTTCCAATGATGATTTTTGTGGCGTAGTTCTTTAGCTACTTCCCCATTGAAATTAAAATTCTTTCGTAGACATTTGTAGGTTGAGTCTTTATTTTATGCTTCCACCTCTCATTTCACTTACTTATTTATTACCTAATATATTGTAGTGCTCTCATGGTTATGACTGGGAAAAAGGAACGTTCATCCATTCAGTTTTCTTTTCATGGCTACGTGCCATTGGTATCACTACTCTCATTCACTTTCTTGTTTTATGGCTAAGAACCAGATTGGGAAAGGGAGGGAATATTGTTTTATCATTTTGGGCTTTATTATATGTCAGACCCAGCTAGTAACTACAGGGAGTGCAGAATTATTAGGCAAATGAGTATTTTGACCACATCATCCTCTTTATGCATGTTCTCTTACTCCAAGCTGTATAGGCTCGAAAGCCTACTACCAATTAAGCATATTAGGTGATGTGCATCTCTGTAATGAGAAGGGGTGTGGTCTAATGACATCAACACCCTATATCAGGTGCATAATTATTAGGCAACTTCCTTTCCTTTGGCAAAATGGGTCAAAAGAAGGACTTGACAGGCTCAGAAAAGTCAAAAATAGTGAGATATCTTGCAGAGGGATGCAGCACTCTTAAAATTGCAAAGCTTCTGAAGCGTGATCATCGAACAATCAAGCGTTTCATTCAAAATAGTCAACAGGGTCGCAAGAAGCGTGTGGAAAAACCAAGGCGCAAAATAACTGCCCATGAACTGAGAAAAGTCCAGCGTGCAGCTGCCACGATGCCACTTGCCACCAGTTTGGCCATATTTCAGAGCTGCAACATCACTGGAGTGCCCAAAAGCACAAGGTGTGCAATACTCAGAGACATGGCCAAGGTAAGAAGGCTGAAAGACGACCACCACTGAACAAGACACACAAGCTGAAACGTCAAGACTGGGCCAAGAAATATCTCAAGACTGATTTTTCTAAGGTTTTATGGACTGATGAAATGAGAGTGAGTCTTGATGGGCCAAATGGATGGGCCCGTGGCTGGATTGGTAAAGGGCAGAGAGCTCCAGTCCGACTCAGGCGCCAGCAAGGTGGAGGTGGAGTACTGGTTTGGGCTGGTATCATCAAAGATGAGCTTGTGGGGCCTTTTCGGGTTGAGGATGGAGTCAAGCTCAACTCCCAGTCCTACTGCCAGTTCTGGAAGACACCTTCTTCAAGCAGTGGTACAGGAAGAAGTCTGCATCCTTCAAGAAAAACATGATTTTCATGCAGGACAATGCTCCATCACTCGCGTCCAAGTACTCCACAGCGTGGCTGGCAAGAAAGGGTATAAAAGAAGAAAATCTAATGACATGGCCTCCTTGTTCACTGATCTGAACCCCATTGAGAACCTGTGGTCCATCATCAAATGTGAGATTTACAAGGAGGGAAAACAGTACACCTCTCTGAACAGTGTCTGGGAGGCTGTGGTTGCTGCTGCACGCAATGTTGATGGTGAACAGATCAAACACTGACAGAATCCATGGATGTCCTTGCAAAGAAAGGTGGCTATATTGGTCACTGATTTGTTTTTGTTTTGTTTTTGAATGTCAGAAATGTATATTTGTGAATGTTGAGATGTTATATTAGTTTCACTGGTAATAATAAATAATTGAAATGGGTATATATTTGTTTTTTGTTAAGTTGCCTAATAATTATGCACAGTAATAGTCACCTGCACACACAGATATCCCCCTAACATAGCTATAACCAGGGCCGCCATCAGGGCATGACAACCGTGACAATTGTCACGGGCCCGGCGGCCCTGGGGGGCCCGGGCCCCACGTGGATCAGCGGAACTGCCGCCGGTGCATCTGCACCGGGGCCCACACGCTGATGGGGCCCATCAGGTGGCCCCAATCATTTAGGGCCACCCAATGGGCCCTATTATCTTCAGGGGCCCGTTTAGCGCTGTAATAGCGCGACCGGGCCCCTTTAAAAAAACAAAAAGCAGCCGGAAGCAAGTGCTGCTGGGAGGAAGTGACGTCCGGTCACTTCCTCCCACTTTACTCCGCGCGGGAAGGAGGACGCAGCATGAGGAGAGGCAGCCGATGCCCATCATCCCCAGCCACCTTCCTGCGACGAAATGGTAAGGAAGAGAGGAGGGTGGCTGGGGATGAAGTGTATGTGTGTATGCCAGTGTATGTGTGTGTGTATGCTGGTGTATGAATGCCAGTGTATGTGTGTCTGAATGCCAGTGTATGAATGCCAGTGTATGCTGGTGTGTGTATGCCAGTGTCTGAATGCCAGTGTCTGAATGCCAGTGTATGTGTGTGCCAGTGTGTGTATGCCAGTGTATGTGTGTATGAATGCCAGTGTGTGTATGCCAGTGTATGTGTGTGTGTATGCTGGTGTATGAATGCCAGTGTATGTGTGTGTATGCCAGTGTCTGAATGCCAGTGTATGTGTGTCTGAATGCCAGTGTATGAATGCCAGTGTGTGTATGCCAGTATATGTGTGTGCCAGTGTGTGTGTGTATGAATGCCAGTGTGTGTATGCCAGTGTATGTGTGTGTGTATGCTGGTGTATGAATGCCAGTGTATGTGTGTGTATGCCCGTGTCTGAATGCCAGTGTGTGTCTGAATGCCAGTGTATGAATGCCAGTGTGTGTATGCCAGTGTATGTGTGTGTGTATGCTGTGTGTATGAATGCCAGTGTATGTGTGTGTATGCCAGTGTCTGAATGCCAGTGTATGTGTGTCTGAATGCCAGTGTATGAATGCCAGTGTGTGTATGCCAGCGTGTGTATGCCAGTGTGTATGTGTGTGTATGCCAGTGTATGCTGGTGTATGAATGCCTGTGAATACCAGTGTGTGTATGCCAGTGTGTGTATGTGTGTATGCCAGTGTCTGAATGTCAGTGTATGTGTGTCTGAATGCCAGTGTATGAATGCCAGTGTGTGTATGCCATTATGTATGCCAGTGTATGTGTGTGCCAGTGTGTGTATGCCAGTGTATGTGTGTATGAATGCCAGTGTGTGTATGCCAGTGTATGTGTGTGTGTGTATGCTGGTTTATGAATGCCAGTGTATGTGTGTCTGAATGCCAGTGTATGAATGCCAGTGTGTGTATGCCAGTGTATGTGTGTGTGTATGCCAGTGGGTGTATGAATGCCAGTGTATGTGTGTGTATGCCAGTGTCTGAATTCCAGTGTATGTGTGTCTGAATGCCAGTGTATGAATGCCAGTGTGTGTATGCCAGTGTATGTGTGTGTGTATGCTGGTGTATGAATGCCAGTGTATGTGTGTGTATGCCAGTGTCTGAATGCCAGTGTATGAGTGTCTGAATGCCAGTGTATGAATGCCAGTGTGTGTATGCCAGTGTATGTGTGTGCCAGTGTGTGTGTATGAATGCCAGTGTGTGTATGCCAGTGTATGTGTGTGCCAGTGTGTGTGTATGAATGCCAGTGTGTGTATGCCAGTGTATGTGTGTGTGTATGCTGGTGTATGAATGCCAGTGTATGTGTGTGTATGCCAGTGTCTGAATGCCAGTGTATGTGTGTGTGTATGCCAGTGTCTGAATGCCAGTGTATGTGTATGTGTGTGCCAGTGTGTATGCCAGTGTGTGTATGCCAGTGTATGTGTATGAATGCCAGTGTGTGTGTATGTATGCCAGTGTGTGTGTGTGTGTATGCCAGTGTGTGTATGCCAGTGCATGTGTGTGTATGCCCATGTATGCCAGTGTGTGTGTATGTATGCCAGTGCGTGTATGCCAGTGTGTGTCTGTATGCATGCCTGTGTGTGTCTGTATGTATGTATGTATGCCTGTCGGTATGTATGTATATATCAATATGCATTATGTATATGTATGTTTGTCAGTATGTATGTCTGCTTGTATATGTGTGTGTGTCTCAGCATCTCCCTATGCATGTGTGTATGTCTGTTTCAGTATTTGTATCTGTTAGTGTGTGTGTATTCCTGTGGGCGGGATTTGGAGGCAGGCTTGAAGGGGGGCCCAGACCTTGAGCTGTGTTAGGGGCCCCAAAATTTCTGATGGCGGCCCTGGCTATAACTAAAAACAAACTAAAAACTACTTCCAAAAATATTCAGCTTTGATATTAATGAGTTTTTTGGGTTCATTGAGAACATGGTTGTTGTTCAATAATAAAATTAATCCTCAAAAATACAACTTGCCTAATAATTCTGCACTCCCTGTAGGAATATATCAATAGGAGCAGTAACTGGAACAATTATGGTAGATATTTCAGAGTGTGCTTTATTTTTTTTTCATTCACACAAAAGTAGAATTTAGAAGCAAACTGTATTTATAACTAAAATGAAAGTCCTATTCTTTCATATTTTTACTAGGATCCCTAAAACCACATAGTAAGTTTGTTCTATTTTGTAAGTGCATTATGGAAAAAATGGAATAGCATTTTTGTGTTGTGGATACCTATATAAAATGCTTAGAAAATCACAAATTTGAGTTTAAGAATTCAAATGTAGAAAATAAACACAATTTAAATGTTAGTTCCAAAACAAATCTACATCCAAATAAAGGTATTAAATTATCCAATCATATAATTAGTTAAAATGAGGTTGTTATAAACAAGTATTTCAAACATGATTCTAGACTTTGCAGCATTATGGAAAATAAAACAATTCATATGTCAGAAGTCTATAAGGTGTTGAATGCAAATGTGAACTTTCAGAACTGCTTAAAAGGTGTAGACAGAATTGTCTACACACCAACTCCCAACTTAAATTTCTCTTCATTTTCCACATTATAAGCACCTCTTTTGTGGTATCTAAAAAAAGAAAAATGTAAACAAACAGCATTACAACCAAATAAATAAAATTTTCTTTTTAAATTGTATAAAGAACTTATGGCATTTAATTCTGAATATATTTTCTATACGGCAACAGCATATTGTTTAGAAGAAAAAACAATATTAGTTATCATTTTAAAATAGTATACACCTCAATCCAGATTAGGATAAAAAAAAAGTTATTTCAGATCACAGCACTCTACTTCTAGGGCAGACGTTCTGCAAACATTTTATACATAACATACATAACTTTGGTCTGAGACTCTGTCTATAATTTTCCTTCTGGATACACACCCAAAGACTCTGCTAATTCAAAAAGAATCCCTAAAATTCTGACCATTGATTGACACCATAAATACCTGCAGATTTCATCCATCTATAAATCAGCCCTTTTATTCAAGAATTATCTCTTTATCTCTGTGAAAGCCCAGTTAACATGTGTCTCTGAGAATATATTTGTTTTCCAACTACCAACCAAATTTCATGAACTTTTAGTAAGACAGTAAGGCACAAAAGTCAGAAAATTATATCAAATTAAAACTGGGCCCAACTTTTATTATGTTAATCACTCAAGATCAATAACCTGACATTACAAGGTAATTTGCAACAAAAATAGCAATTTGAGGTCTTTTCCAATTATATTTTCCAATAGGATGAATGGACAACCACTCACTGCTCTTTCCCGCAAAGCTGATGAGACAGAGTAAATTGAGCATGTCCACATGT